TGGATATTCCTTGCATTTTTGCCTTCAATTCGAATATCCTAAACCAACTAAAGTATAGTTCTAAAGATCAATCACTAAATTTTGGGAGTCCAGGTGATACTTTTGTTCCTATCTTATATCGATTGTTTCTAATTTAAAATATGTATGAATGATTGAATTCTATTATATTCGTAAAAAAAATCTAGTTTAAGGTTGTATAATTCTTTATCCATTTTGAACTTCTAATCCAATGTCGGTTCTGTTTGTGCTCTTTTCGGTTTTCTTGCCGTTGTCGCCAATTGATTGATTAACTGGGTATTCGGTGACTTTGCTAGATTACTGAACAAACAAATTAATAAAGAGCATGCAGAGTTTACTCTACGGTTTAGATGTATTTGTATATATTTTTAAATGCTTTGAACGAGTGATTCATAATTATCTGATATATTTCGTTCAGCATTCTTTAATTTCAATAGGCATTTATTTACTTTAATAAAAATCCTTATTTTTATTAAAAATTTAAATCCTTATTGAATAATGACTAATAATTAAATGTAACTTAATTATCTCTTTGTTGTAAGTTATATTCAGCAATTTACATATATTGCTGTTGAATTAACAAACGTAAACAATTAGTGATAATACAAATTAATTATCTAAATATTAAATACGTGAAAATTTTATTGTTATATATATAAAATTTTATCTTACAAATAAAAATTATAAATACTATGTAAATTAAATTGTTTTGTATATAAAAAATATATTTCTTACTGGTAAAAAATCTTTTTCCAGTTGATTTTTTTACTAATCTTTCGACAGTTTTCCTGAAATTTTTTTTTCTTTTTTTCTTAAAAAAAAAAAATATCTTTCTTTTTTTTTTTTTTTTTATTTGCGTATGCATAACCAATACGTATTCTTTATATAGCTAGTGCTTTTTATTACCAAAAAGGTTGATAAAGCCTTTTATTAACCAAATATATGTTAGTCATGCAAGTATTGGATAAAAAAAAAAAAAAAATTAGTTTTTTTTTTTTTTTTTTTTTGTAAATTCTAAAACGAATAAAAGAAATATATTTATTTTTTTTGGAAAATTGTTGTATTGTTGAAAAATTAAAAAAAGAATAGTTACGGACTAAAAAATTTCCTTTAGTATTTTTGTTTAAATTTATATAAGAAAATTTTATATTAATTATAATAAAATTTTACATATTTCGTAGTATTTATGTAATACAATTTTTATTCTATTAACTGCTTATACTTGTTTATTTGAAGGCAGTGAATTTGAATTGTTAATGATTACTCATAACATTATAAATAAAATATATGTAATCAAAATAAATAATGAAGATTTAAGTTTTTAATGAAAATAAGGACTTTTATTAAAGTAAATAGATTCCTCTGGAAAAAAATAAATACTCAAATAATTAGACAAAACAAATACATTTTATTGGTTTACAGCATTAAAAAAAAATTTAAGTTAATTATATTAGTATAGACAAATCTGCATGCTCTTAATTAATCTGTTTGTTCAACATCCTAAATAAATCATTGAGTAAGCAGTTAGTAAATTACTAACATACATATATTATATATTTTAATTTATTTGTGTAAGAAAAATGAAAGAATATATATAACTAAAATTAAGAACAATAAAAGCTAACGTATATGTT